CCCCAAAACCCCAAAACCCCAAAACCCCAAGAAGAGGTATAGATTTGAGCAATGTGAAATTTTTAAGTGTTGAAAATTTAAAGTATAGATTAGATATAGAAATATTAATGAATAGTAGAGATTATCAGTTGCTCTGTAGTGACATATATTTAGAGTTATTAATGGGGTTTTTCTAGTGATTCGTGTTAATTGCTGCTGCAGCTCCACCGCCATAAACATTATTTATCTGGCTTATTTGCTTTTTGCGGTTGTTTATGTTGCTAATTTAAGAGTTTGTATTTGCATTTACAACACCGTACTAAGTAGAAGCCATTGGATACTCCATATCACCATTAACTGAGCCATGGCTTAAAGCAGATGTCAAACCCCCTCCAACTGCTCCACTGCTCGCATGTTTGTCTAGCATTGGGCTTCTTACAGTTTGCTTACTTTTTTCCCTCGAAGGTGGAGCGTAGATCATTTTTTGACTTTCAAGTAGAATCTCATTAACTCTTGGATTACCAGTAGTCATTTTTTGAAATTATTAAGGCTATTGATTCGTATAATTAGTCTGCATCATTTATTATTTAGAATTTATAAATTTGTTGGGATGTTTGCCCATAGAACTATCTCTGAAACCTCCTCCTGCACCACCATTAGTGAACTTCTTTCCTTAAAGTTACTGCTAATTAGCAACTTGATTTTGTTGAAGAACGAATTACTATTGAGGAATGAGCTATCTTCCTCTTTGTTGATTTTAGCTATTAAGATTGGTAACTGTTCTACGATGCTCATGATCAATCTCAAGTGGTTTATAGTCATGACCAGTGTCTCCAGTACCTGATTGATTGCTTCCTTGTCTTTAATTCACCTAATTCGTCACTTGCTAAGTTCTATTATCAAGAGAATTTGACAATGACTGTGGATTTTAATTGTATACATTAATTGCTCCTGAACCAATCACAAGCGGTTAACTTGCTAAGCCATTTTTATTACTTGGAGTTATTGCAGTATAATTATCTTCATCACTGGATCTTTATGAATTCCAGCCTTCTTCTTCAATAATAACTTGCTATCTAGAGTTTGTATTATATTAATTGTAGGGTTAATAATCATTTGGAATTTTTTTCTCAGATTAATAAGTGGTTAACTCAGAATTGACCATTCGATTAAGCTAATTATTGATGCCAACTTAGGGAGCTACTTACTGAACCTGACCACCACCACCTTCAATGTTATAGTCATATTAGCTATTTAAATTTTTCTAGCCATAGAAGGTGTTAAATTAGAACTTATTTGGTTAAAAGGAGTGGCCCATTTATTATGTCTAAGTAGTGGAACCATAAACATCCATAATCCTTTAGTTTTTTTCATTGACTTGCTTGCTCTCTTATTTTTAATGAAGGGGTCCACTAAATGCATTTTTACTATTTGCCCATTTCTACTTTATCAATGACTCTAGTAGAATAAATCAAAGTAATTATATTTACAATTATTTGTTTTAGTTGAGTTATTCATTCTTTGTTCTTGCATCTCACTTCCAAGCTAGCCTCCATTTAAGTTGTCACCTACAGTTCTCCTAGATCCAATATTGAAGCCATTGCTATTTGTTAAGTGCATTTTGTAAGGATTTCCCACTGAATGTTTTGAGGAGTTATAGGCAGATTGCTTGTCACTCTCCTTTGAGTTCTATATTAGCTATGATTAATTATCAGAGTGAAACTTACTGAAATGTTTCTTTGATTTGAATGAGTTTGGTTTGCTTAGATCAATTATGTTTGCATATTGCTTGAAACCTTCCCACCATGACCATATTGAGTTATTCTTGATTGAGAAGAGTAAATTGGTCTTTGAACTGGAGCAATTAATCCTGATATTTCTGCCTCAGTTTCAGGTTCTCTAATGTCATCAAAGTATTTATGCTTCAAAGCTTATTCTCCAGTTAGTCTATCAGCTGGATCCATTTTTAATAGACCAATCATCAAGGAGAGCGCATTGTTAGATAGCTTTCCCGTATATTTCTTTTCAAGGGTTTCAGGCTTTAAAATTTCAGGAAATTTCAGACCGATAAATCTCGGGTTTTTATTAAAACATTCTTGCTACTCTAGTGTTAATGGACCAACCACTTTTTGAATAAGATATAGTTAGTCAATCTCTGACTCTCCAGGAAACATCGGCTGCCCATCACTGAGTTCTCCCATTATACAGCCAATAGCCCACATATCCACTTCTGGACCATAATCAGAGTATCCAAGTAATAATTCAGGAGATCTGTACCATCTTGTGGCGACATAATCTGTCATTTTACCACCTTCTAGTCTTGGACCTCTAAAATTGGATGGTAATTGCCTTGAAAAACCGAAATCGCATAACTTGAGGGTGTTATCACTAAATTAGAGTTATTTTATGACGTTTATTATTTGCTGTTATAACTTACGAGCTAATTAGTAAATTCTCAGGTTTGACGTCTCTATGTACAACATTATTCCTGTGGCAAAAAGTTACTCCTTTTATCATCTGATATACAAAATGCCTGAGTCGTTTAGGCTATAAAATGTATTTAAGTTGATTGTCTTCAATTTTTAAAGCAAAAATATTTTTGGAAAATCAGTTGAGATTATATTGTAAATAATCTTTAGATTGATTGTAATGAGCTTTTTTACTTACATCGATTCCACTGGAGTTTTCCTCTAACACTTCCAAGAGATTTCTTTCGATATACTCAAATACTAGATATAATCTACCCTTTCTAATAGCTTAGTTAAGAGTGTATTTATAATACCTTTTGAATGCTTCTTTAAGAAGAACTATGTTGGGGTATTTTAACATCCTTAGCATTTTAACTTCCCTCATAATGGTCTTTTTAGCAATCTCATCTTCATCCGATTCTTTGAATTTCTTAATAGCCACTATTTTAGCGATATTAAAATCAATCTGTTTACCCAGTTCTCCAGTTTCTTTGTGCTAAGCTTTATATACAATACCGTAGGCACCTTCACCAATAATACCATCGATTTCATACTTATTCATTGTTGATTTGAGCAAATATTCTTATAATAATCGACAAACAATAATAATTTAAACTAAGACCTTAATCACTCTTAATCATATCAATAAACCAATTCGATTTAAATATAAATTTTACAAATTAATCAAAATATGGAAAATTCTTTAGAAAATTCTTAAACTAAAGTTTATTCTGATTCTAACACTGAATCTATAGAATCAGCACCTCTAGACTCATTTGTTAAAGATTTGACTGAGGTATTACCTAAGGTATCTAAATTTTGTTGGTTAAAGGTACATCTATAGGAAAATTAGATTGAGGAAATCAAGGAGGAGTAAAAGTAGTCTGATGAGTTTTATGCTGCTTTAAATCTGGATGAATTGCAGCATAAAGCAGATGAACAAGATTAGACCAAAGATGAAAATGATGAGTTCAAAGATGCCAAGGATAAGATTGAAATTTTTTACGATGTATTCTAGATTAATTCTTAGTTATCTTTTAGCTCTAAAAGGCACGCTAATTGAAAGAGAAAGCAAATGAAGACTTTAAAGAGGAAAGATTTGATGAGTGTATTAGATTATACGATTAAGCGATAGAGTTATGCCCACCAGAAGAAATCACTGATCTATCTATATTTCACAATAATAAAGGGATATGCTATACTAAGCTTGTAATTGAAACCTGATTTAATTTATTTACTTTTAGAAAAGAAATGAGGCAAAAAAGGAATTCTCTAAAGCTATAGAAATTAAGCCTGATTATGTGAAACCCAGAGCATTTAGGATGAAGATCTATAGAGATGAAGAGGAGTATGATGCAGCATTGGAGGATGCCAAAAAGATAGAAGAACTCGACCCCCTATATCCAAATATTCATAGGACTGTGATGGAGTTGGATAAACTACAGAAGGAGAAATTTGAAAAGATGAAGACTGAAGTAATGTCTAATTTAAAGAGCTTCGGAAATACAATTCTAGGCAAATTCGGTATGAGTTTAGACAACTTCAAACTGAATCAAAATCAAGATGGAACATACAATATAAACTATCAGAATCAATGATTTTTATATGAAATGGAAATTTAGTTGGATAGAGAGTAAATAGTGTGCGTGATATACTTATCATAGGAGTTAATTATGTCTAAAATCAACTTTAATACAAATTAATATTTATTTAGACTGCATACATCACTGAATTAAAAAATTATCTAACAAATAGTTCTCTTAATGTAATCATCGCATAAATATTTTCCATCAAAATGATATAAGTTATGATGCTTATTATTAACAATCTACGTTCTGAAATCAAATTATATTTCTATTCCTTTTTCCTCCTCTACTATTCCTCTGTGTTGACTATTCATCTTCGCTGTCAGTCGTTGACTCTTTAGATTCATTATCGAGTCTTATATGGTATTAAACTATCTAAAGACAATCTTATATTATTGGTTTTAGTACCTGTAATTCATCATCTTTGCTGAGATTGTTGAAGTTATCCAGCAGCTATTAGAATATCATTTGATATTTTTTATAGAGCATTATAACTCGCTTTGAAGGATCTAACAGATAGTTTTAGATTTTTGTAAACAGCTTTTTATAAACAACTAATTATTTATCTTTTAATTGCTTTGGCAAGTATATGAAATATCCTGTGAGATTCTCAATGTTTATGATGAGCTCGTAAGTTTAAACTTTTTCAAAGGATTAAATCTTGTCAAAAATCTTTTCATAGAATTTAGTATTGTTTGAGCTCTCTGTTTGCTTCATTATATAAATACTTTAAAACATCTTAGTGATATCATAAGGATACAACGAGTTGACATATTTGAGATTGTAGTTAAAAAATTTCTCGAATATTTAGTCTTATCCAGTGTCGAGCTTAGCTACTTGGTAGAGAAATCCTATAGATACCTTGGGATCATTTATAGATTCAGGTCTCATATTTTTAACTCTTTTATGTAAAAGTTCCTTGTATCTAGCATTATCTGGGCAAATTTCCAAAACCAAAGTAGTGAATTTAACTAGTGTATTCTAGCAGAATCTTTCAAAATTCTTCTCTATCAGCTTCTCTACTTTTTGTAGGAATTGTTTATCAGTACAGCCAAGGTTAAGAATCTTGAGAAGCACACTGATATGCCAAACATCAATATTAGCTTTTTCATCAGATATTATCGACTGAAATAGAAGATCATTGAATCCCAAATAGAAGCCGTACTTGGCGAACATCTAATTCTCTGTCAAGAACTTTATAATAGTTCCCACATTAAACTACTCAGGCTTATTAATGTTCAGTTCATTGACTAATGCTAGTTCATATTCGTCAATCAGCTATAGATTGTTTAAAGTTGGAAGTCTTAATAAACTAATGTTGAGGTTGAATATTTTTAATTCGTTCTTTTTATAGGTATTATTTTAATTATGTAAGCGCACAAGCATTGCTAGAAAATGACTATTTAGTACAGGCAACTTGTAATGAGTTCTGCATAGTTTGTCAAGTGATTGCAAAGATATCTGTTTCTCCATTAGACAGAGCTATATCTAGATAGTCTTCAGAAGATCATAGAAATCCACATGGTACCTAGTAAAGAATATGATTATGATAATATGGTTACTCTAATTTCTAAATGCTATTAAGCAAAGTTATCAGGTAAGAAATGGGGAAAGCATAAAAGAGCTCTGAATTCAGACTGTACTTTATGATATCTCGACGCAAATCTGGCAAATCTAAAGTCTCATTGAGAGTTGTCATGAGGTCTCTCATATTTAGATTAGCATTCTTGATTATTTTTTCTTTCAATTAATTGCCAATAAAACTCTTGAATTGCAAATCGTACTTATAAATCTGAATGAGTAAAAGTAGTTCTTTGATGGATCGAGAATCAATATCCTCAACCACAAGGAATTTGTATTAATAAATGAGATCCCTTAACATGTAAGTTCTCCTCATTTCTCTGTAAATCGATACAATCTCTATGAATTAACTGCAGTTCCACTGTGAAATTTAATTAACAATAATATTGTCCACAAAACTCCTCCAAATCTCAGAACCAAAATGATCATCAAGGTCCATTAAATTATTCAGCGTTTCCTATATATCTCTTGAGTTCTCGAATATAGTATTGTATATCAATAGGTCCTTTAAAGCTTTCATTAGTTGAGGGTTCTAAATCTTGCATTATGAGAGAGGATTAAGCATTTGATCTAAGTTGACGCTCCTAATCATTTTTAACTAGCCTAATGTCTCTAGAACAAGATCAAATGCCTAAGTTTCAAGTTATTAGAACTCCTTCTTGTCCAGAGTAGTGGAAAACCCTACTTTTGAGTGTTGCTAATACCTCACGCCTTAGAAAAATGCACTTAAATGCCTAACATTAAGCTCGCCTAGCTTTTCTCTCGCATTCAAGACATTTTGGTATAATTCTTGCAAGGATCTTGACCTTCCTATTCTATTTTCTTCTTAGCTTGATATGTCTTTAATTTCTTGCGCCGAGAATTTTATATTGCTAAAATGAGCCATTCCTAGTCTATGAATTAATCTGATACACTTTCTCTCGCTGAGGACTCTCATACTTATACTTCTAATGGCCGATTTACCAATCTATCTATATAGGAAGGGTTTTAATGAACGAGAATTTTATAATATTTGCATCATTTAAATTGAATTAATATATATTTTCTCCCACATATAAAATTTGCTATCAGGGGTTTTGGGGTTTTGGGGTTTTGGGG